TCTCTCTCTCTCTCTCTCTCCTCCTTCTTTCACTCTCACTCTCTATTTCTCCAGTCTCATACCCAGGCATGCATATGCAGAAAAAGTAACCGTTCATCGTTATGACAAGTATGCATTTGTGAATAAGTAATATACAATGTAATTCAGCTGTGTTTTTTAAATTCATTTTAGTTTTTGTTCGTTTTGTTTTGTTTTGTTTTGTTTTTCAAATGTTAATATCCTTCACCCACATCTTCTTCATACAAACACATAAGGACCCTCTCAGAGTTTTGACACATGTATGTGCATATAATATAATGTATTATGATACTGTGTTACTTGGCGTGCCCTCGTACGTACGCATACTTACAGACACAACAGGGAAACTCAACTTAATTATGCAGGTACATGTACAGCACCGGGTGCCGAATACAAGATGAAAGCTTTGAAATTAAATTAGTATCGACGATGTGTACTTACTTGGAAAGCCTAACCAGGTGGATGAAGGGGAAAGATCAAGGTTAATTATAACTTTTTTTTTAGAGAACACGAGCAAAGGAATGAAGGACGATCCATGTCGTAAGTGATGTCTGTCGCAACTGTGGCACTTGACCATACTTGATGAGGACCAGTGTGTTAGTGTCTGGTCTCTCTTGACTCAAGGAGGAAATTAGTATTGTATAATCCATGCTGTACTGTAGTATTGTAGTACTTGCCACCCTGAAAGTTTGGGCATTGTGAATCCTTTCTGTGAATCCTACTGTGAATCCAAGAATGCGCAATCTCACAGGTCTCTAAATGGCTTCAACATAAATCATTCGACAAAGGAGAGTTTAGCAGTTCCCGACAGACCCAGTTGGAGTCGCAGTGCGCAGCAAGTCATAAAAGAATAATATAGATCTAGGTGGCTTCAAGAGTGAGAAACCCTCACTGTAGGAGGGAAGCCCGCAAGCTGCGCGCATCTACACGTGGTAATGAAGCTTTCAAATGCTCAAAATGTGGTAAACCTTTCTCAAGCATATTTGGTCTCAGTGTTTTGGGCCATAGCAGAAGCCATAAGACATCTTAATCCTAGCATCTGCGTTTGTCGCGGCCTCGACCCGCGAATCGCGGCCGCGATTTTTTTACCCTTTTTGGCCCGCGAATCGCGGCCGCGATTTTTGCATTTTTCCAACAAAAAACACCGCAGGGGAAAAAAAATAAAATCAATAACAACAACAAAATCTGGGAATAATATTTGTGAAAAAAAAAGAAACCAAACCTCTTTACTTTTAGAAAAAAAAGTTTATTTTCACTTTCGCTTCCCTTCGTCTCTTTCTCACTTGTTAACACTGTGTTGATTTGTAATTTTCATGTTTAGAATATAAGTATGCAACACTACATACTATTTATATTGCTGTTTCTCTTTCATGTTTTCCTCTTTGTTATGTTTTATTTTGTTGGTGTGTTAATTTCTTTTTCTCTTTCTTGTTCCGATGTGTTATTTTTTCCTTTGTGTGTAAATGTGTGTGTTTATATAGCGAAATGTTCTTCCTATCTTTTAAAAAAAAAAGTGTTATAGTTATGTTGCAGCGTGTCACCGCCAAAAACGAATACGGACACTGGTAGGCCCATTGTGTGTGATTCCAGAATTTACATGTAATATCCTGTGCTTTTTCTTGAATAATATTACCCACGTTTAGGATTAAAACGGCCGATCTATGGATGGGTTGTTGACGCACGCCCTTATTTGTTAATGTTTGTGGTTGTTTATTTGCAGTTCTAATTTTGATTTCATTCTGTTGTGATACCTTTATTGTTCACGTTTTTACACTCTGTGTGTGGGTGGTTGGCGGGTGCTCTGATGTGGTGAGCTTCTTCTTTCCTGTGAAACATCTATCATCCATATCTCCCCTTCTTTTTATGTTTGTAAACATCTTGTAACATCTCTAATCTTCTTGCGCTCATATGACCTTTTACAATTGCGAGCGCCGTAAAACCTCTACTAAAACTACACACTCTGTGTGGCTGCAAATGATATTCTTGATGCTAAACACAGAGCACAAGAAATTCTGGTGTTTTAGATTAAGTTATCTCCATCAACATATCAACATATACGTCGTCACAGAGAGTTGAAAGCTTGACAATTAATGGCAACATTTTTGGCAACTTTTGCCATTTTTATGGCAACTTTTGGCAACTTTTGGACAAAAAAATGGCAACAAACGCAGATGCTAGTTAATCTTCAACTCCTCTGTTTCACTAAAGAAATACTCTCTTCTGCGGAAGCATTGGTCATCGTCGCAGACATTGACGAACGAACTATCACATATAACACACACAGACACATGCACGCACGCACGCACACACACACACACACACAC